CGAGCGCGGGTGGGTGTGAGCGAGCGCGGGTGGGTGTGAGCGAGCGCGGGTGGGTGTGTGCGGCCAAGTTTGCGTTGCGTGAACGCGCTCCCGGCGGTTCGCGTCTCGTCCGGGCCGCGGCGGGGTGCGCGCCCTGGCTTCCCGCGGCTGTGCGGGTCTGTCTTGCCGCGGGTCTGCCTTGTTGCGGGGTCTGCAGCGCTGTAGGATTTATGAGGGACGAGGAGGCGGGGTGGGGAATGGCCCCCGTTGTGTAATTTCCGTAACAGGGGCTCAGTGCCTTTTCCTTCAAGGAAGAAAATAAAGTAAAAAAAGAAACCTGAGGCTTGGAAGTCCGAACCCAAGCTGGCCAGCCTGCAGCCCTTCCGAGCAACAGCCGGCACGGAGAGGCTCTTTCACAATGTCTGCCTGCCGTGCACCAGGCCGGCAGTTACCCAGAGCATTAGTGAGCTGGGAGGAAGGAGACGACCTTTCACACGCCCTTAAGCCACGAGCTAAATATGAACCAGCAGCTGGGCTGAGAAGCAGTCCCTGTCCTCACACACCTGCCACCAGCCCTCATCTCCTCTGCACGCTAATCCTAACCCTGTCTTCAAAACAAATCTGCCCCTGTCCGCCCAGCAAAATCCTCCAAAGCCCCCTTACAGCCCAAGTGCCGGAGGCTGACACGCGAGGCGTTCACAGATAAGCTTCCACTTTTCCCACTGTTCTGTAGCAGGAGTCCCTTTCTTCAACCTGTCCCACTGACCCTAGCCACGCCAGGGACACGCATCCTCCTAACTGTGTTCATGCCGCCACTTTCCCTAAATTCTGTCGTTCCTTCCTGAACTAAGTCGCCAGGCCCTCCTTAATCGTTCCCCAGTAATGATACTCTCCTGTGAAATCTCACAGATTTACTGTGGTACCACACCTTGGGTCTTTAGCCATTGTGTCATTCTTCCACAAGATAATAAACTCATGATTGATGTCAGTGACGCCTCAGTCTCTTAGGTAATGCTATGGTGCTTTGCTGTATTAAGTACTCAGTTAATACTTGTTGAAGCTGAGAAATAGGAAGAAAAACAGGAATTACTTATCTTGAACTTTCTACTTCTGTTTATAAATTTATCCCAAAATGCAGGTGTATCCCTCTTTTTTTTTTTTTTTTTTTTGTAGTAGTAGCAAACTTTTTTTTTCCATTGATTTTAGAGAGAGAGGAAGGGAGAGAGAAAGACATCAATGCAAGAAAGAAACATCAGTTGGTTGCCTCCCATGCATGCCCTGACCTGGATCGAACCCGCAGTGTAGGTATGTGCCCTGACTGGGAATCAAACCCAAGACATGCCAGTGCACCGGACAACACTCCAACCAATGGAACCAGAATGCAGTTGGCGCCCTCTTTTAAAACAATCCAAAACAGTAGGTGTGGTTATACTCTGTGTGCTTCTTGAAGTTAGAGACCGATCGTCTTTATCAACCCCACATGCACCTTAGCAAGGACCGTGTTGACTAGAATGAGATGAATTCGAATCCCAAAACATCATGACATTTTATGTACAGGTTACTGGTACCTGAACAAAAACAAAAAAGAAAAAAAGGGGATGGGGGGAAGGGCAGAGGAAAGCCTCAGAGTTTGAGTCGTCGATAAAGTAATGAGAAATGAAGCTGAGAAAACATTACAGGATTTAAAAGGTAAGCCAGAATTCAAAATTAGATCGTCTTACATGACTGTTCATTTGTAGGACTCTTTTGTAATCCCCGTTGCAAAAGGGTTTACTGTACTTGCAGAAGATTGCGTGGTTTGCACATCTTCAGGTTACCTAATAAGAATTGTTTTGGAAACAAGTGACACCCTTGGCACTCTTTCGTCAACAGAACCACAGTAACTTAAAGTAATCCAATCCAGCCAGCCCAGATGGAGCAACAAGGACTGAATTTACTCTCCAGCTAAAACAACTAAAATAAACCAGGCAAAATAAATAAAACGGCAGCAGCCCAGGACACTTGTCCATAAGGGAAAAGAAAGATGTGAGGTGAGCATCATGATTGGTTCAGTTTACTGTCGAGAGAGAGTTGCCAGGCTACCATATTGAGAGGGGGAATCCAACAAGAACTAGGCAGATTCCCTGAGTTGAAGAGGTAGAAGTAGAAGACCAAGAAAGCCAAAGCAGATGAAGCTGGGTGTAGAGCACCGGAGAGAAGAGCTATACAGAGAAAGAGGGAGCTCTGGAAACCTGCAGGTCTTGCTCCAGTCTTCAGCGGATTAGCTCATGAATGTGAGGAAGGTACCCAAGGCCAGGGAAAGAACCCCCCATACAGAGAGAGAGAAGAAATACCAGAGCTTGCAATAGATAGGGAATTCCTGTTCCCACAAGCCAGAGTGAAAAGTATAGAACAAGGAATAGGCCTTGATCCTGGTACCCTGGCTGGAGAATCTCATAATTCATTACTCAAAAGATCTTGCCTCAGAAGTGGGATAAAATTAACCCTAGAGGAAATGCTGCTCTGGTCCTACCTAACACCTAAAAGCCAGCCCCAAAAGGTTCAAACCCTCTCCAAGAACAGAGTGTCCCAAAACAAAGGACAAGAATACTTACAGGAAATCAAAAATATCCAGCACCTAACAAGGTGGAACTCACAATGCCTAACACCCAATCAAAAATTATTAGGCATGCAAAAAAGAAGCAGGAAAGAATGACCCATAATGAGAAATATCAATCGAGAGTTGCAGAAACAATAGAAGTAGTAAACAAGGACATTAAAAAACAATTATTATGTTCTCTATGCCCAAGAAAGTAGAGGAAACATTGAGCATATTAAGTAGAGATGTAGAAAATCGGTCTTTTAAAAAAACTGTTATCCACTTACTGCATTATTTTGAGGTAAGATGGAATAAGGCATAAAAATAATTAGCATAGTGCCTGCCACATGATAACATTTATTAAATGGTAGCTATTATAAGTGTAAGTCTCTTCTTGCAGAGACTCTGAGGACAAAAGCACGATCCTATGCCTTCAAGCTTGAATTTTGGTAAAGAACTTGTCCTAAAATCTTTGACACTCATATGAACCCGTGAAGTTACTTTATTCTGGGAGGAGTGTTTATCAGGATGGGCTAAGTTACGACACAGTAAGAAATATCACACTAT